CGTCTTATCTGATTTATTTTCTATATATATATATATATATTCTATCGAACCACCTATTTTGATATTCTAATGTTAGTCTTTCTGATATTTATGTCTTTATATAGACTTTATCTTTCGTGCTAAATAAAATATACGCACATCAGATATGTATCAATAGTTTATTCACCGAAATATGCTATTTTCTTAAGACATTTTCTACTTTCAATTTGAGGATGCTAAAAAAAAAAAAGAAGAAGAAGAAGAGAAATTTCATTTAACCGTGTCTTTATAAAGTTGATTTAAAAATTTAATAATTAAATCTTATGGAAATTATTCTTGTATTTAAATTTCATTAATTCGTATCCAAGAATTGATATTTAAAATAATTTTATTAAATAAAGTTAGAAAAATATAGAAGCAAGATTAAGGAGTTAAGTTATGGTATATATAAAGATAGAATTAAATAGTCTTGGTATTAAGAATTTATTCTTGTATTTCTATATTCTATAAACTGTAAATGTAAGAAAACTACGAGCATGATATTAATACTTTATTTCAATGCTTTTCATTTCGTTTTCATACTTTGGTTTTCTTATCTAGAAGACATATCGAAAGTATTTGGAAAAGTTTAGCATATGACTGAAACATGAAGTAATGGAATTTTTTAAAAATACATTTACTGAGATGCGAGTTTTTTTTTTCTTCTATAATATTATTACTTCCTATAAAAAATTTATTGTAACGTTGCAAGAAATCGAGATTTTATAGATCGAAATTTAAATTATTTATCTTAATCATTCGAAAAGAACTGTAGAATTAAATTTAGCAAAACAGTGATTAAAAAGCAGTATCAATTGTTAAAATTAATATTAATTAAATAAACCCCCCCCCTTTTCGGGCTTTTAATTATGAAAAATACAAGCTTAAATTTATTATACAGGGTGGATCAAAAATCAATTAAGCGTGTTATATTGTTGAAATATTTGTAGTATGAATCATAAAATTAATTTTTTTAAGTGTAATTTGTGTATGGAACGAGAAGGGTTGAGTATTTTGAAAGTTTATAAGTAATAAAATATTCTAATAGGGAAGCAATTTAGTTTGGACAATGGTTAAACTGACCTTATATCGATACAATTTTCATTTGTTAATATAAATTTTCGTGTGTTCGTTGAATTGTATGTAGGAAACATTTCAAACACGAGGAATGTTAGGAACTTCATTATATAATGAATATGATCCAATATTAGGATGCTATTTGCAGAATGCTTATTGTCTTCTACTCTATCTTTCCAAGCAAGAAATTTAATCGATTTTATTGTTCATCGTAGATTAAATAACAGAGATTTGAATAATTTATTTGAATTTTAAACTCAGAAAAAGTTAGGCCATTGTAATTTAGAAAAGAAAATTATAATAGATTATAAAGCAACGAAAATAGAAAATAATTTAGAAATATTTTATCAAATCATTTTATTTTTTTTTAATTCTATCATTAAGTTAGAAAATTAAATTTATCGAAAAATTTTTCCTAAAATAGTTCTAGATTTGGAAGAGAATATTGATCAACACTTTCTCTTTAAATCAATATCGATATAGGCTACTTGTTTGAATTTAACGATTAATAATCTCTGTAGAATTGCAATTATTATTATTATTATTATTATTTAAAATGACTATTTTGTATTGGATACAGATCTTCTATAAATAGATAAATGAGGATAATTTTATTGCATCAGAGATTTATCAATTATAAATTGATTGAGAGCGAACTTACACGCACCGTTTCGACTGTGACCTTGATTAATGACTATGAAAAGTCAAATAAGATTTAGGTTTTTACGGATCAAACAAATTGATTTGTGCCGATCTGATTAAACAAATCATTTTTAGATTTGTTATTATTAAATTTAATTCTATTCATAAGAGAAATAGAACAAACCGTCTAAAAATAGAATAAAAATGACAGAAACCTAATTTAGAATAAGTGTAGGCTATTTATTTATTCGTATATAAATGAATACATTTGTCCTATATATAAATTTATATGTAGTCTATAACTTACTTAAGTCACAATTATAACAAACATATTAATGTAAACAGTAAAAATTTATTGGAAAAAAAAAACACTTCAGTTAAATAAATATAAAATTCGATTTTATATAAAAGTGAGGAATTTGTAATAAAATAAATATTTTACTGGCAATTTAAATAATTTTCTATGTGTTTTAAATATACGGTCAATTCGTTTTAGAGTCCCTGATATAGCGCCATTTTTGCATAACGCCAAAACAACACCGGTTCAGATTTTGGCGTTATGTCGGGAGTTGATTGCGATTAAACAAGTTTATTTTATATGAAAATTATGGATGCGATTCTAGTTCAAATATTTTTATTTATATATAATTATTATATATAGTTTTTTCGTTAATTGTTGAAAATCTAATGCAATATTTATCAACTGTTTTTTTAGTAATGGCATTACAACTTGGTTATTTTTTTTCTTTTGCTCTCTTTCATCTTTATCAATGTAGAGTTCTTGCATGCAGTTTTTGTAATAATACACGTAGGAACTGTTTGATGCTGCTCTATATTTCGCATCACCGTGACCCACCATGCTACCGAATGGATAAAACCAATGAAACTAGGGGTTGGTCGCGGGTTAGTGCCTTATCAACTCACGAGCTGGCTTCTTGGAATTTTCCGGGTTTTCTTTAGATATCTAACAAATAAATAGGGACTAATTTCCCATAGAAAGTCCTCCCGAGAGACACTTCTCTTTGGAAGATCACCCAAGTGTTGCGTTGCCTTCTTCCATCAATCCATTTTGCGGTACCCCTAAAGTGTTGTTGCGGCACCCAGGTTGAAACCACTGGTCTAATGTGTTGACGACCGGATAGCCGAGTGATTAAGAGAGGGAGACTCGAGAATGAATCCGGACTGGTCGAAAAAACAGAGGAACTTTTCTGGAGAGGGTCCGTTTCGGTTATGTCTGGTCCTGTTACTCACCACTCGACCGCTCCATTATGTGCCCTGCGAAGACCACGATGGACTTAATAAAGGGCCCTCTTAGTGCCCAAAGGGCGGAATCAAATGTGTTGTAGTTATATATTTTAAATTTTGCTTATCATTAAAACAACATACTTAGTATTGTCATAATTATATTTGAAGTAATTTATATTTTATATAATAAATAATAATAATAATCTAATGAAAATTATAATGTTTTTTTCGGATTAATTTATTGACTTTCTAAGATTTCTAGGATAAAACAAATTCTTCATTTCTAGGATAAATTATTTTGTTCCTATACGCGGAAGGCCACTCTAATTATAAATTTCTGGTTTTAGACATCGTTTAGTTATTGTAAAGAAATTGAATTCAAAACTATTTTTCTTTATCATTCGAAAAATAATAAGCCCTGAATGAATTATGATTTCGATGTCTCAGGATAGATAAGTCTAGTAAAAACACGAAGAATAGAAAAATACGATAAACAGAAAATGTTAAAACGATACCAAGAACAGATGTTTAGGTAGCTGAAACATCGATTAATAAAGTTATTTTCTATTTTTTCTTTTAGCACTGATGACATTTTCATATATTAATTTTAAAAAGTACAAAGTTAACTTTTTTCTATTCACTTTTCCATACAGTAAAATATCTATTTATTCAAAAACTAATAGTTTCTGGTCTTTCGAGCTTTCATTTTCTTTTTCTTTTTAAAATATTTATACAAAATAGCTTTTATTTTTCTTTTTAATTACTCACTAGACCATATACTTGATATAAGAAATAAAACGAATTTATTAAAATACCTTTTTAAAAGTATCAAATCTAATTTAATCCTATTACCGAATTAACACCCATAGAGAAAGTCTGGTCGTTTAAAGTTGCCTAACTTAATACCAAGTCAAAGAACGAGATTTACCTCCTCTAGTTCTATACAAAACCGAAAATCCTAACATAAAAAAATATAAAAAAGAGAGGAGGATGCCTCCTCACATTCCACACCAAAAGGGATATGCGGCAGTTAAAAAAAAAATTATACGACTGGCTTACATTTAAGAAAGAAATTCTTGAAAGAAAAAAAAAATCATAATAAAAAAAAAGTTTTGCGAAAGTAACGACAATTGAACCAAGTGTCTACAGCTCGTGGGAAAACTTATGGATAAACTCCTGCAGAGTTTTCGATATTGGCGAAGGAGGGACATTTTAGGTACAACGCGGAGAAAGATGTCACCGTCATTTTCCTGTCATAAGTGCACAGTGGAAGCTCCGATTACCCGAGTCGGATAAGGTTTCCACTGCACACCGCCCGCAGCTCGGTTTCTGTCAGACACACAGTGCATTCAGGCGAAGGGAGAGGATATAACGTGGGCGTCTGGCCAGTCCCATTTGTCTATTGTGCTGAAGAAATCGCTAACAGTTCCTTTCTCGTAATCATGGTCGAATGGCTTCTACCGTATTGGACTTAAACTTTAACTCCACTAACAGTTTTACAAAGCTATAATTGTAACATCAAAAAATTAAATTTAAAAATTGAAAAACTTTTTTTAACTTAGAAAGTAAAACTATTTATAAATGTAGACTATATCTAAATATCTTTACTTATAATTTAATAAATACATATTTAAAGCCTATTATATTATTCAGAAATTAATTTTATAGATTCTTATTAGAAACAGCTTATAATTTGTTGTATCATAAAAAAATTTTAATAATTTTAAATACACTTAAATCACTAAAATAATAAAAATTAATATAGTTTATAATTCCACATTTACTTAATAAGATATATATTAAATAAATATAATTTAATTTAGTTGTCTTTTGAGATAGATAGCCAGCCATTGACTTTATTTAAAAATAAAGATTTATTTTACAAAAAAAAAAATAATATTTTTAAAGAATGACATTTATGATTTATCTAAAATTCTTATTTATTTATCCTTTAATCTGCATCTTTGCCAAATATTTATGAATTATGATATCAGAAAAAGAATATGGAAATCAGCCATCTTATCTCTAATAATTCTTCATCTCATTTCAATTCTCATGATCCAGAAGTATCTGATAACAAATAATCATGGAATTATTTTCAATAAATTATTTATAATTTCCAAATATAAACTCATTAAAATGTATAGAACAAGAAAACAAAATAAAACATATATTTTAATTAATAATAATTATATTTTTAAATAAGAATTTAAACACATTTCATATATACCATAATTATTATTTTTGAGATATAAAAAAAAAGGACACATTTTTAATTTAACAAAATATAATTATATATCTGTAATGTACTGTACATACACTTCATCAAAGTTATTTATAATATAACTTAATCTAGTAATAGAAATTATGAATAAAAACATGATAAAAGACAGGAGTTTGTTACTATTATTCTTTTTCTTCTTCTATTCATATCCTCATTTTTCTAAATTTGTGCTGAATATAATTAGCTTCAATTATTTTCTATTCTGTTAGAGAATAAGAGAATCTCTTCTTCTCTAACATACATTTTATTAATTATATTTAATATTTTAATACCTTTTTTTTAAAAAAAATTCTGAAAATATATAATAATAATAAAAAAAAACAAAAATCTTATGATAAAAA